TTTATTTATGACATATACTGCCCACTGGAATATTCAGAAACCTTAATGCAAAGATTATCTTCCTTTGCACTTTGTGTCTGTGCCTTCAAGTCAGTGTTGACTCCTGGTGACTGCCTGGACAAGTCCCTGCAGTCTTCTTGGTTTGCTGTTGCCTCCTTCCTAGGGCTGAGAGAGAGTGACTGGCCCAAGGTCCCCCAACTGGCTTCATGCCTAAGGTGGGACTAGAACTCATAGTCTCCCAGTTTCTAGCCTGGTGCCTCAACCACTACATCAAACTGACTCTTTCTCTGCACTACAATACCTTATAGATGTTAAAAAATTGAGTTATCTTTTCACCTTTAGACTTGGTTTTATCATAAACTGAGGTTATCTTCATGTCCAATTCCCTCTCTAGACAACTGAAAAGGGAAAGCTTTTGCAAGCTGTTCAGGGAGCTACTTTTCCCCAGAAAATCAATATAAAAAAAATGGGCAGGTAGAATTGGGAAAGTCTGGTTTCAACGTCATCTTGGGAAATTTCCAGGCTATCGAGCTGTCTTTCCTAAACTAACACCAAGATCCCTCCTCCTCCTCTTCTTTAATATTTCTGGAATTAACCCCCCCCCCACTCAATTCTGATACTGCATCTGCACATGCTTAAGTTCTCTTATAACATTTCCACCACACTGATAGCAACAGCAGAGCAGTACATATTGACAGCTTCTACTCTCCAGATGGTTTCTCACATAATGCCCCAAGCCTCAACACTATCTGAAGTACAGTTCACAGAAACTCAAAGTAGGCGGAAGGTGTAAATATCTTTTGCTACACCATCACTGTAAGTGGCATGGGGAAATTACAAAATAACTTCTGCATGGACGAAGGCCATGTGCTAATATTTATGCTTGGGGCCATCTTTTAAGTCCACTAGAAAACAGCAGCCCAAAAGACCTCCTGTGGAAAATATTACATGAAATGGAACTGTGAACGTCCATGTTTAGGGGATTCCTACTGCAGCATTCACTCTATCTTTCAGCATTCCATATTTTGCTACAGGACAAAGAAAAAAATAGATGTTTCTTTAGTTTATAAAAAGAAGCCAGCCAAAGTGTAACCATTTGTAATATTACCCATTTAAATTTACCTTAACCTTCTTACTGATATCAGTGGGACTTTTAAGGGTTTGCTTAGCCCAAACAGCATCTTGATGCATTGTTGAGCAATGCTGAAGAAAATCTAATGTCAACTGAAAACATAACATTAGACTGACATAAGGACATATACATTGAATTTAAAAATATATTAATTAAATAAAGTCCAGCTATTGAAAGCTTCTCAGATAACACTACCAGCCCTCCTGAACTAATAGTAATACTAGCATAATTTATGCTAGTGTATAGATAAGAACGACAAAAGATTTTAATTTTTCAGTCAATTCTGACAAAATCAGCCAACGATGTGATCTTAACAGTCAAACTACTTCTATAGTACAACACAGAACACAAAAGTTCATTACTAAGTGTCACAGATAAGCCATTTCAGCTTACAGTTATGAAAAATTAGGTCCCTAAAGACAACTAGCAAAGGAAATCATCCGTGTGTAAAAGTAACCTTGTGTGCATGTGCAGCCAATGCTGATATAAATCTGACTGCATAGTTTCACTGATACTGAGAGTCATCACGTTAACTAAATATGGATGAGGATGTTTTGCACCAATAATCACACACTGTTAAAGCAATGTGTGTATATTGGATTTCTATATCTTCTTTTCTGCTGGTTTTGCTAAAACAAAAAGATCAAAAGCCTGGGGGAAAGTGGTAAACATCTACATTTTCAGTGTTCATCATTCTTACAAATCTTTCTAGGAGACGCACTTGAAAGAACACTAAACAGCAGCCTTTCCTTACATTTGGAGAATGCAAGAAACATTGTTTATGTGGGAAGGAAATTATATGTTTGAAAATCTTTCCATGTGTTTAGAAACATTATTTTTAAAAAAGACATTTCCTGCAAGATAAAGTTGCCAACACTTTTGAAATCAAACACTCTAAACTAAAAAAATTGTGCCATAAACCAATTTTCAACTATTTATTTATTTAGTCTCCTATTTTGAAATCCAGCACAGAAAGTGTCTCAGTGGCCAATCATCAGTTGATCCTCTCTTTCTCTATTTCTTATTCTGACCCCATATTGCAGAATAGTCTCTCTGGAAAGATACCGTATATATTCAACATCCTATTTCCTTTCAGGGTGAGCAACATTATGCAAAGTGCAGAAAGAATGTACAAAACAATTGTCATCCCTTTAGGGTAGTCCAGACCAGGAAACCAAAATCATTAATACTACTTTTATTGTAAGGTTACAGTAACAGAATCTTGCAAGTCTGAATGCACCTCTCCCCTCCCTGCCCTTACATTGCAGAGAACTAGAGAGGATAAAGTCTGATATGCTTTCTCCGCCCGCCCCCCCTCCCCATTCCTGCTTTGGACTTAATATTTCTCTTATCTGACCATCGTCTTGGTTGCAGTTGTTCCTCTGGTCTCTCAAGGTTATTCTCACTGCCCATTACATCAATATGCCAAGAAATTAAAGGAATGAGATAATAAAAGGAAATATAATTCAATCTACTTTACAGCAGCATCATTCTTTATAACTCTGTAAGGGGCCCAGAGTCTTTTGGAGTAGGCAGCCATAATAAAATGAATAAAATAAATAACCTGTTAGGGAGTGTCAAAAAAGTCAAGATAGCAGTCATGGCCACATGGCTCCCGCCCATACACCCACTTCATTCATTGTCTTTTGTTCTTTACTGGGGATGAAGGTTACATTAATGTCAAGATCAAGCTATTAAGCCTCTTTTACTGAATGTAGTATTAATGAAATTTTTAAAAGGAAGAGCTAAGAATTATTTGTACTATGTGTGATGCAAGTTCATTAATGAATTTAAACTTTAATTATCTGTAGTTTAGTGTATCTTATAGACGATCTTGATGGCAAAACCTGCCATTAAATGACATATTATTACTCAGTTTATTAAGAAATACATAAAATTTAGCGCTGATTATATAGGCTTAGACTCTTGTTATAGCCTTGAGTTTTAGGTTGGGCTAATAATTGCCTTACCTCTCTTGTCCATCCCCATCTTCCTTTTGGGAAAATTCTTTCACTTTACAACTTCACAGTAAAACATCTTGTTTATATACACTTACAACTGCGTACAGAGTAAATTTAAAATAAAGTCTTCTTCAAATTAAGTCCAACTTCATGAACCCAAACTTGAGTGTTAGAGACAATTAGCCACAGTAACATCCAGTATCAACTCTTTTTAAACGGTGAAGTATTGCGTGAGAATATGTTTATCCCATTAAGGAAAGCAAGGAGATAAAATTCTCCAAATGGTACAGGAACAATAAGTTGTTATTAGATGTAATATTTTAATAAAAGAAATATTTTAATAAAAATATAATTTTTATTTAAAAAATTAACACAGTAAAAACCATAAGAGAAAATAATGTTAATAAAGAAGAATAGTAAATAGTGAAAAAAGAAAATAGAAAAAGAAACAGAAACAGAAAAGGCAAGAAAGAATATAAAGCAGCAGCTTTCTTGACAGTGATTATAGATACATTTTTACTTTGCCTTTCATTATAATTTCCCTCTTTCCATAAGCTACCCTTTCTAATCTTCAAACCCATAAATCACAAGTTCATTTTTCTCT